ATCCAATTAAATATTAAGAATTAATAGGACCAGCCAACCCATTCCAGCCATGCCAAGCCCATGGAGTTAGGAAGTGTGCGCACCGCGGTGGGACCGAGTGGAGCAGTAGGGTTGAGTGGAGTTGGGTGGGATTTGGTGGGATCGAGGAGGGGTTGGGCAGACATTGAGATCCAATTAAAGATTAAGAATTAATAAGAAGACTTAATAAGAATTGCTTAGAATCCACCCACAGCCCGGCTGGCCTACCCCAGCCCAGCGGTTCAGAATTACTAAGATTGGAGTTGGGTAGAATTGTTGGGGTCAGGAAGGCTTGGGGAAGCCCGGCCCAGCCCAGCCCAGCCCAGCCAGCCTACTGGGCAGGCATTGGGAATAGGTGAGGGCACCACGGTGGGACAGAGTGGGGTTGGCTGCGGCTCTACCGGGTGGGGTTGGAGGCAGAAAGGGAAAGATGGTCGACGACACGAGTGGGGGCCGGCTGCCGTAGGGTACGGTTGGATTGAGCTTCATTGCCTTACCAAAACGTCATCTTGGCGCTTCAGTAACAGATGGCGATCACACCGCTGGCCGGGTGTGGGGCACGTTCTAGGCGAATGCGGGCTGAGTCAGTATATATACTGGCTCGGGATGACCTGTAACCCCTCACCCAAGGGCCACACAGCCTTGCGCCGGGCTGTCGCAGGGCAATGCGCTAATGCGCCTGCGGGGGTGGGGGTAGGCAGACTAACCGTCAGTACCCGAAACCGGAAGGCATTGGGAGGCCGCTTGATTGTCATGATACATGATTGGTGTGCTTGGCATGATTGGCATGGTGCTTGGCATGATTGGCACACTTAGGTGGGGTTGGGTAGGGTTGGACGAGGTTGCGGAGGATCGCGACAACGGATTTTGCGGGAACGCAAAACCCTTCTAGCTTCTGGGCGCCGCCCCAGCAGAGCGGGGTCGGCGGATAGAAGGAAGATTGGTTGTTTGTCTGTCGAAATGCTGCCGCTGTGAACCGCGTTCCAACTTCTGTGGCTTGTGTAAATCTGTTGTCGTCAAAGTCTTGCTTACTGCTGGCATTTTGGCTGCAAGCCCCGGTGGCTGCGGAATGCTGCGGGAGCAAACTCAGCAGCTGATGAAGCTGCACTCAGCAAGACAGGCCATGATGCTTCATAGCACACACTCAGACGGACCGGAACACTGCATTGCACGCCTTCGGCACTTGAGTTCTTGCTATACGTTACTTAAGCCCAGCCGGCAGCCACGAGATGGCTTGTCACAACCCGTTACTGCTACGATGTAGTAGTCGGTGTAGTTGCAAGCAGGACATACCTCCTACCGTATGGGCCGTGCCGAACCCACATGGATGCAGACTCGGCTCGTCGACAAGCCGCAGAGATTGAAGCTTTGCAGGCCGAGCGGTGACGCGACTGTATGCAAGTTAGCCATTGCGAGCCGGAGAGAAAAACACGTCTGAAAAAGTGTTGTGTCCTGTCCTGCAGTTTGCTAATTTTGGAGGCAATCTATGCTGAAGATGGAGAGTTTGAGCTGCTCCAAGAACCGCAGGAAGGATCCCGCGAAGCCAAGAGTGATGAGAGACAAGACCGGACATCGAAAGATCTCGGAACTGTGGTAATGCTGAAGGAGAAGCTGCAGGGGCATCCTTCAGAGTACGTTGTCCGAATCCCCTCGGTGATGTCCGGGTCAACTTGCCAGCGACATACCCTGCACAAGGCACTCGCCATGACGTGATGCTGTGTAACGTCTTTTCGTGCGATGAGCCCATGCAGTCGTAGGACACCGTAGGACTTTGCAGGCCGTCCAGGCTTCGTCTTGGAGAGGTGGGCATCTGCCGTCGGTGACTGTGCAGGGTCATGCTGGCTTGCTGAGGCTGCGTGGTCCTGCTGCAGCGGCTGTGCAACTAGGTGGCAGCCTTGCTTCCTATTCCATTGCTGTCGACTTTTGCTGCCGCAGCTTCTGCCTCAGGCCTAGAAGCACTCGCAAATGAACATGCAGCAGAGGAGTGCATCTTCGATGTGCTGACAAGAGCAGTCGAGGTGTCAGTGCAATAGCCATATGAAGCCACTGAAATGTCATGTTTGTTGGCAGAATCCGGCAAATGTTGCGCTAATAGGTTGCAGAGTCGGCGGGGCTGGGTTTGCCGGATGAGGCCGAGGCTGTCCCATGTGATGTTGAATGTGGCATCCTGCAGCGGTCGCAGGCGCCAGTCCCCGCAGCAAAGAGCATCAATGTCGAAGAGGAACATGTCTGGAGCGGGCGAGAGACGTAGTGCGTGAAGGGCAGATGCGGCATTTACAATTACTATTAATGGAGCTTTCGCGAACAGGGGCCACCAAAGGATCCTTAAGACCAGGCTTGACCAGTGCCGTTGCGAATGAAGCTAGGGACTTGGGATGTGCTTTAAGCTGTGGGCTTCGGGTGTGCCTCTCGTTTCTGTCCTGGAGTCGCTGCAATCCAGATGCAACAAACCTTGGGATTCGACATGCTTAAATGCTTGCGGCTACGACCTTTACGAGCTACAACATGCTAATCCCGCCCAGAGCAGTCACTGGACTCGAGACAGCTACGACTCGCCTCCGGGTTCACCCGCTGACGATTGTTTGTTAGTTAGGTCTGTGATTAGGTCTGGGTTTGTTGACAGGCAGCCAACCATCAAATCATTGGCCACTCCATCCGGCTAACGTGGATCCAAGGGATACCCTGTTCCTCCAGATTTTAACTTGGTGGTATTCGACGAGTACCTTTGATTTTGCCCGGGCCGCGAATGTAACAAAGGTCTGACCCGAGAATTAAAGTCCACAGTTGCGCCCGGCACTTTGGTCTTGGTTTTGTGACCTTGTACGAAGATACCATGGATATACGTATATGCATACGTGAGTTGCTCGCACAATCAAAGCCTGCTGTTGGTCAGGCAGCCTGGGTGACTGAGTTTGCCGACGGCACGATGTTGCGACTTAGCGTTCGTTCAGGACCGAAGGTGCCAAGCGAAAGAAGTCACAAAGGCGGACTCGATCATGGCCGGTCGTGGGAAGGTGAAGAAATCGCAGATTACGAACAAGTCCGAGCTCCGCCGGGTCGCGAACGCTGAGAGCGTCTGCACCGTGCTTAGCGTGCTTGGGGCGATGGCGGAAGGCTCTCGATCCGGCGTCGTTTTTGCACTGCTGCAGTGAGGTGTCGATCTCGCCCCATCGCGAAACACCGAGCACGAAACTCAGGTCTTCGGTGATTCTCTAATTCAAGAGCACGTTCAAACAGCCCCCCGCGGCAGGAACCGTGACATGTGTTTGCACGTTATATCATGCGGACATCCGAACACTCTATCAAAGCACCGACTTGGCGAGTCGAACGCCGAAGGCGGTGGATTGTGAGCTCTGATATTCCCGTCCTGTGCTGTTGTTGGACTTCTGCCTTCGCATCGCAATGCTTGGCAATTCCTCGGTCAGCGCACCGACCCTGACGGCCATGACCCTTCCCCGACTCCTGTTTAGGAGTGGCCAACATCAAGCGACCGCTTACGTCATGTGGCTTCGGAGCCAGAGAGTCAGAGAATGCTCTTCGTGCTGTAGCGTCCGGGAGCTTGTCCTCATGTCAGTTGCTTCGCCAAGCTATCAGGCCACGGGCTCTCAACTCTCAACCCGGGGCTGCAGGCCGACTGGGCTACATTGAGCTTTATTTCCGTCAGCAGCACTGGAAACAACAGGCGCTAGTCCGAAGACGTTGCAACAGCAAACGTCCTTGGCCCTGGACCCACAGTCTTTCCTCGGAGAGGTGCCAAGGCCCGGACCAGACATGAAATGACTTAACGGTGCCCCGTATTCCGTTTCAGCATCTTTCAGCAAACGGATGAAGATTCGTCGACACAACCTCGAAAGAGTACAGGGTGTTACCAAGGCTCCGATTAGGCTCGATAGTGTCCGGTAGTGATGCCCTGGCAGATACTCAGACTGTATATACTTCTAAATGCTTTTGCATCGAATCTGAAAGTGCGCCCGATCTTTGCTTTTCGGCTGCTGTTGACCAGCACAAGCGTCGAAGCACTTTCCACTCGTACTCGTACTGTTACATAGCGGAACTCTCAACATGATGTCCTTCAAGCTACGTGTTAATCAATCTGTGCGCACATGAGGCATCGGTGCCTCGGGCAGAGTAAGGATTCGGCACCTCCCGTACATCATTTACGGTTGACTGGGCCGAGGAACTATGAACTGGCAGCACTTCTGTCCAACAGCCTCCAAATCAAGGCCTTCCGAAAGTGGCAGTAGACAGGGCTCTGAAGCGAGGCCGCGTGTGTAGCCTTGCTTATCGGATTGCTGAGCTTTTGGAAACTGCTAGACGTCAATTGGGTGTGAGTGAGGCTTCCAGAGCCAATGCACCAGCAGTTGCATGTCCAGGCAGACGACGTGGAGTTCGTGGCTGGTGGCAGGACATGCAGTATAGATTCATGGCTTCCTGCAACCTGGAACTGATGCAGGAAGGAGAAAGCAAGTGGAGACCGAACAGCGCACATCCGCGGCATTGCAAAGCAGGTGCTGTGCTTACCTGGACACTGTTAGACTGTTCAAGGAGGGGCTGCTACTGAAGCACTGCGTTGCTGTTAAGGATCTGATGGACCGACTGTTGTCCTGAAGCATCGGATACGTGCAAAACTAGACTTGTGGTTGCTTGCACCTGCCAATGCCAGACAGAATGTGTTTGCGCAAGGCTTTCAGCCAAACAGTCAAAGATGTAAGATGAGCCACAACCCAGCGCAGATGTAGGTGGTGCCGACTGTTGATGACTCTCATGCAAGCCATGCGGGACACGAACATATCTCCCGAGGCCTTAAACTTTGGAAGCTACGGTCGACTTTGCACGTTTCCATGTCCACAATTGTGCTTGGCATGGTTTGCAACTATAGTCTTGCTCGTGGTACGGGTTTCAATACCATGGGTTGCTGATGCGTGCCTTGCCAGTACGCCATGCCAGCGACTTCATTGTGGACCTTGGGCAGACGAAGCCTGAACTTCGCACTGTGCTTCACGCTTTCAGGCGCCACCACCGCGAATTCGCACCTCTTTGAGCACCACGATCTTGCTGTCCTGGATCTCGGTGTCCGGCTGCCAAATGGCAGCATGCATACCTTGATCTCGGCCGCTAACTGTACAAGCCCGGTTCCTTTCCTCAGACGGGAAGTGGTGCTGGAGGTGGGCTGCGATGACGTGGATGAGCTGCAGCTCCCACTCTTCACAAGGATAGGTGCGCGCATCATTGTCCTGCACAAGATCCGTCTCCCATGTCCGCAGGGAGTGACCAGACTCGAGCAGGGCATCGAATTTGGGAACGATGGTTTGTGGTTCAGTGTAGCGCAGGCAACGCAGGCATGCGAAAATGGTGGAAATGGTGGAAATGGCAATGTATGCGCTTTTGCCGGCACTCTTCCAGTCCGTGAGCATGTAATGAGCCAGGGTGAGCTCCTTGCGGTGTCAGTGAGCCTAAGTGATGCCGTTATGCATGCAACTGAAACTGCCGATTCGCAGGTGCAGCTGATCTCAACTTTGCTAAGAAAACTCAGGGCGCTGCCATCCCGGTGCGATCGCGATAGCACCTCGATGACCGACCTGGTGGCATGCCGTAAGCATCAGAAATTGCTTGAAGACTATGTTGCGGAAGCGAAGCTTGCCAGTGAACAGTGGCGGTCGACGGCAGGGAGAAGAGAAAAAGAGTTTGAGCTGCTAAGCCAAAGAACGAAAGAGCTGCAGCGAAAGTTGAAGACGCTGAAGGGCAAGACTGGCAAGAGTGTCAGAGATCAAGGCGAGGACCGGCAGGCTCTGGAGACCATGTTGCAGATGAAATCGGCAGAGCTGGAACACCGAAGGCGAGAAGCACTGTGGTGGTCTATTGCAAGTGCCGTGGTAGCAGGATCTTCGGCACTGGCCTTCTTCACCTGGAAGCGCTACGGAAGTGCAGACGATGACCTCAGCCTTGATGCCAAGAAGGAACGGCGAAAGCTTCTTCGACTCTTGGGCCGTGTAAAGGCCAAGTCCGAGACGGCATCTGAAAAGGCAGAAACTGCACCCGCCGCAGCAGAGACGTCGGAAACGACCGAAGCATTGAACTCGAGTACCGGAGAACCGGCCGATCAGCTTTTCCCACATTCGGTTGAGGTTGAGCGCAGGCGAAACAGAGATGTCCGGTGCGTGCGAATTCAGTGCCCTGGAGTTCAAGAAGAAGATGTCACCATCAAAGTTCTTTTCAATGGTGCTGAAGTGCACATCGATCGGCAAGAATGTGCAGGCTTGCCAGCCGTGAGTTGGAAGCACCGTTTCATATTCCCTTCCGACGAGGGCCACGTTGTCTTTGCCGATGACGAAACCAGATTGAGCCACGGCTTGCTGGAGCTAACATTCTTCTCCCAGGAGTTTGTTACGCGAACATTCCGCTTCCCGGAGCACTTCGACCTTGCCTACGATGACTGAGTCCGCAAGTCTCGGATCGGGCCTTGCAAGAGCGAAAGGCGAAAAGTTTGTCCGCCGATAGGCCGTAAGGCTACGCGGCTACACCAAGGCAGGCGCATTCAAGAACTGACCCTTTGGATCCTTCTGGCCTCTTGCCATGCGCCAGGTCTCCTGTCCTGGGTAAAGGGGCCCAGCAAGTTCCTGCTTGAGCTCGCGCCATTTTCACACGCTCTCGTTCTGCAGCGGGCCCAGGTCTCAGCAAACTTTATTGTGTTTCGCCGTGCCATGGCTGCAAGCTGTCAAGTAGCACCCTACACAGCTGACACTTGTCGCTCAGGTCTTGCTGGAGACTTGAACCAAGGGAAGAGGCCCCAAGCTCATGACATGATCGCTGAAATGGCCCACTTGCAATCGCCTGGGCCACGTAGCGTTTGGTGCAGCATTCCTCCAGGCATACAGTGCCCTGATCAAAGCATCAAAACTCTTGCACATGGTTTGTCTTGGCGTGGCTTCAGCGAGGCTTTTTCCAGGGGCCTGCAGAACAGAAGGCTGCTGAGACCAGCATGCCTGCCAATACAGAAACAGCTGGATCTACCATGAGACCGTCAGCCAACAGGAAGGGCAAGTGCAGGTCAGCACCAGGATCTCGCTTGAAAGGCTCTCTGCTGTGATGTGTACCGCGCTGCAAGAAACACTTTCGCTGTGCTCCTTTCGAAAAGGAATCTCGCAAAAAGTCGCGGTTCTCTGTTGAGAGGCATCCGTGACGGAATGCTTTCGTTACACATGCGCCAGTCGGCACATCAGTCTGAAGCATGCAGTGATCGATATCTCAAGCTGTGCCCAAGGTGCCTGCATAAGACATGAGCTAATCACCAAACATGATAGCCTCAGAAGGCGTGGGACCTGTTTATGCTTGGTTTGCTAAGTGGTTGCAATCATCTTCCCTTCTGTAGTTACCTTTCCTTCTTTGCACACGCAAGCATTTTTCATTGCCGTTGTGATCAGGGTGGGTTTAGTTCCTCTGATTTCCTCTTGAAAGAAATGGTTGGTCGTTTGCTAGCTGCTAGTGATGATTTTGCGATGGTTTGCCAAGACATGGCGGTCTGGACTGTGTAAAGAAGCTTGGTGTTAGGTGTTTGGTTTGCTTCGGCCCGTGCGCAGAGCAAGATTCCTCGCACCTGGTGCCGAGTCACAAACGTTCAAAGGCACATGCTAAACGTAGACAGCGGTGAAGGCATGAATAGTGGAGTTTATGCAGGGGCTCTTAAAAGTCGCCTTACTTCATCCCACCTGTTGCAGCGCGAAGCTCTGTTCAGACGTTCATTTTCGCCGTGTTTCCTCAGAAATGGAATGCGCACCCACGAGTTGCAAGTATCCTCAGCTTCGATGCTCATGTAGTCAGATGGTTGATCTGGCGGGTGCACAAGTCCAGCTGCATAATTTTTCGAGTTCAAGTGTTGCGGATCTTGGAACTGTGCCGTACGTTCGGGCAACAGTTTGCATTTTCATCTAGCTGCGCGGGACACTTCCAGTTCACTTTGATGACCCGTCCGGGTGCAGTTCTAGCCGTGCAGCCGAAGAACGTCGCCGAGGCAATGCTGTCAAGACGTCGCGATTGTTCGACCTTCGTCTTTCGCGGTCCATGGTCGCTGAGCGAAAATAGCAGAGGCACTTCAATGCCTTCACGGCCATTGGCTGGACATGCTGTGTTGCCACACCAGCATGGCGTGCATCACGGTTGCGTCTGTCTCGTCCGGTGAAGGGGCGACACACCGGCGCTTATCCAAGTCTGCTCCTCTTAACTTTGTGCCGCAGCCAGGTCACAGCATAGCGCAACCTCGCTCAGAACCTGCGCCACGTACCTGCAGACCTGCAGCCCCCTTGATCCAGTCACTAACACTCACTCTTTCCTTATGAACTCCTAGAGTACGTGCGTGTTGCAAGATGCCATGCATAAGTCCTTTCGTACGAAGTCAGGGTTCGGTCCGGTTCTGGTGGTGACTGCTGTGTCTGCATACTGCAAACGCATGTCTCTTCGCATCCCCGACAGGTCTACGATGAGTGCCAACGTTGCCTCGTCCGTGCCAGTTGTGCAAGGAGCGCAAACATGTTTTTGCACGACTTCTGGATTATTCGAAGCGAACGGGCGAGTCCAGGAGTCGATGTTAGACGATGTCGACGACTCAACTCGGTTCAGCTTAAGGCAAGGAAGGGCTTTGTGTTCTTCTGGAGCGTCAGGAAACACTGTCCGGCAATTTTTGCAGGCTGTGTATGTGGCTTGAAGCTTTTGGCCTGGGCTTGTTGATTGTTGTAGCATCGAGAAGACGAGGACACCAGCAACATCCAAGGCATTCAAGGCGAGACTTTAGACGGAACATTGGTGCTACCGGTATTTCTCGAGAGTCAGACTCTGGGCGTCAAGTGTCGACAACAACCGACATCAAATTGTGGGACCTTCGAGTCAAGCTCGATCAAGAGAATTGATCGGCTATGAGAGGGCCCAGGGGCCATGAACGAGAAATCCAACGGCAGGCGCAAGATAACTTTGAAGCTGCAGTCCAATCTCCAAAGCCTTCAGGCCCAGTTACAATGAGCGACACAAAATGCCACACGGTGCTACCGACCGTCTGGAAGGTTTGGTCCTGGCCGTGTCCACGTCAGTCTACAGAAGGATGGTAGGCCTACGGACAGTGTACCGTTGCCGTTCTGTTGCAACAAGTGCTGGCCCGGGGAAGAGCCACCGTGTTTCACTCGCACGTTCCGAGCAACCTGCGGAAGGAATTCAACCTTGCTCAGTTTTAAATTAAACAGTATAGTTTACCTGTCTTAGACCACCTTGAAAACTTCTTCCGTTGGGGCACGAGGGGCAGTAGTATATGACAGGCCTGAGCACCCAAGCACACCGGAGCAGCGGGGGACACTGAGTCTTACTGGTTGTTTCTAGGTGGCAGGTTTCTGAACTTTGCCATGTTTCTGGGCAAGCTTTGTCTTCATGCTGGTCTTGCCACACTTGTCGCCTACCTCTGTAACTATGAACAAGTCCATAGCACATGTCGAAGAAGGGGATCGCACACCCGAATTGACTTGTGTTCCGGGGTTGTGCCACACGTGAGGGCGTCCTATGATCTTGCATCGCACTATGTTGCTTTATGTTGGCCCTCACCAAACTAGTGGGGTTTTGAGTGTTAGGTGCTTTCTGGGGCCTTTGTTGGGGGGACCGCGTTGGTGTGGCGGGCACAAAGAAGCCGACGGTGCGGACTTGTGTGTGCGAACGGGGAAGTCTGAGCTGTTGCCTGAGCAGTACTTGTGGCTTTTTCCGGTCTAAGCTGTTTGTCGCTGAGCTTGCCCTCCAGTCGTTTGCTGCCCAAACTCCCTGCAGGCCCTGTGCAGCCGAGCCGACGGGGGGTAACCCCCTGAAGGAAGCTCTCAAAGCCTGAGAGAGAGAGAGAGAGAGA